AAGAACAAAGTGATTTTGTAGGAGGCCCATTGAGAATCGCCAAGACAGAGCCAACAATCTCGGGGGAATACTCCACGTAAATCATCACGACGCGAACGAGATCCAAAAGTACCACTCGTGTCCATCGCTCTGTAAGGATGTCGTCGACGGCTGATGTTGAACCAACGTTGGTGGCCAAAGCGACTATCACTTCGAACATCATGTCCTTCATAGCATCCGAAGTCAAAAGGGCGATCGAGTCCTCAGCTGTGTAAGTGGGAGACCGTGCGCATTCGAGCAATTCCTCGTACAAGGAGAGCTCCGAAGCTCGGCCTGAATTTGAATGGGGGGTATTCGATTGGAAGGAATCCACCGCGCTGTGAAACTGTTCTAGCTCTCGCGTCTCTTTGTCGCTAAGTGCCAACTCTCTCAACGTATGTAGAAGTAGTCCCCACGAGAATGCTGCGGGATTTGCAGTTTTAGATTCAAGCCCGGCGGTTACAAATATTTCGTTCAATTGGCCGATTTCGCCCTTGGAAAGGAAATATGGCGACTGGGAAGGTGGCGTTGACGTTGATTTGTTAATGATCGAGGGCATGGCCAGTGGTAGCTTCATAAACGCGAGGGTAGTCAGAGCGACGAAAGCCTGTAGCGGTAAGAGTATCTCCAAGGGGTTTTGGCAAGGCTTCAACGGTCAGTCATGGAGTCACGACAATCATGGAAGTTCAAAACATGACTTACTACTTGGATTGATTCCAGGAAACTATAATCACCCATGACACGGAGCCAAGATACTAATAGTTCAGCAGTGGGAATCTCGGCCGATGCCTGAAGCTGGAGAAAGAGCATTTGTGTGACGTGCAGGACCTCTTCAACAAAGATTGTCCTCCACATAATCTCTACTGCTTCGTTGCTCTCAGCGACACCTAACCAGCCACCATCTCCTTCTAATGCGGAAAGTCGATCCTTGATGGCCTTGATGCAGGCTTCCACAAAGGACCGCCATTCACTGCCTGCAGTTTTTTCTTGAAAGACGGCTGCACCTAGCTTGCGCAAGGATTCGGTGCGATCACTGACATGAGGAGCGGGAGGAGCAGTCTCATTCTGAGAGCTGTTGTGGAGGGACAATGCGAGCAGTTTGCGTGCTGTCTTCAACAGATGGCTTCTCTCGGATAGATAAAGGTTGCGCAATCTATGTCGTCTATTTTCCTCGGACAAGAAATCAGAGCCGTCACCAGCCTTCTGTCGCAGAACTTCACTGAATGCAGGCCCTGCAAGCGACGCACGTAAATTGTCGATCCCAGCGGCACTCTGTAGGCTAGTTGATTCCTCCTCGGTAAATCTAGCTAGCAAGCGCGCAGCAGGACGATCCTGCCATTCCAGAACTGTGATCCGAAGAGCGGTTATCTCGTCGATCCCAGCCTTTTGACTCAACCACAGAGTATCCGCTTTGATTTCCTTCAGATTGTAAGAAGCTTGGGCAGTTGTCTCTACATGGATTGCAGCTGTCTTAGACTCGAAATCGGCCTTTGTTTTTGCCGAAGGCGACGAGAAAGGATTCAAGCAATTTGAAAGCAGGCGAGTGCTCTCTGGATGCGAAAGGAACGCATGGAAGCTGCCTGTATCGTCGACATCACTGTCAGGGTCGCAGGTATAGATGAAGGCTCGTCTCCAAGATCTAAGAGAAAGTATATTAACACCGATCGCTTTTCAATTGTAGGGACAAAACGCGCATACAGAAGCTGGACGTCCCCAGAGAAGCACTTGTCCAGGGACGGGAAATAGGCCTCCGGGATGGGAGCCATTTGGCGAGGCAATTTATAACATTATAGGTACCAATCGGATATAGGGAAGAGTCGCTTGACGGATAAAGATAGAGATGGACTAAGAAATCGAGCCAACTGAAGGTCAAAATCAATGCAGCTCAGAGCTTTAGCTCTAGGCGGGCGCTCAAGAATATTATTGAAGGAGCCTTTTGGCTGGAGGGTCAACAATGTATACCTGTTCGGGCTTAGCGCCAGGCGGTGAGGCAGAGTATTTGCGCGGTTTGACAAACAAGCCCGATTAGGAAGTTTTGACCCGCCTGCATCGGACTTTCTGTGAGTCAAACAGCGTCAAACTAATATTACTTTTGATGACACAGGCACCCCTTGATTGATCTGAAGCAGGTGAGATTTTCCTTCAATCTTGGGCAGGTCAAGCGCAAATCTAGCGCAGTCTTTGTTCATCTCCCTCATAGTGAAAGCGACCTTGAATCTTAAGTCACAGTCATGGCGAGCTCCGATCTCGTTGACCATTCTCCCCGCCATCCCACCAAAGCCGCACAGCTGGCCAGTGCCTCGAATGTCATTCTCATTGACAATTACGATTCTTTCACTTGGAACGTATACCAATATCTTGTTTTAGAGGGAGCCACCGTCACGGTTTTTCGCAATGACGAGATCACCTTGGAAGAGCTGATTGCCAAGAAGCCGACTCAACTGGTCATTAGTCCTGGCCCAGGCCATCCAGAAACAGATGCCGGTATCAGCAATGCGGCCATTAAGTACTTCGGTGGAAAATTACCCGTATTCGGTGTTTGTATGGGACAGCAATGTATGATCACGTCTTTTGGTGGAAAGGTCGACGTTTTCGGTGAAATCCTGCATGGCAAGACATCGATACTGAAGCATGACGGCAGAGGTGTCTATGAAAGCCTGCCTCCTGCGGTTGAAGTGACTCGATATCACTCGTTGGCCGGAACGCATGCGACTGTCCCAGACTGTCTGGAAGTTACATCAACTGTTCCATTGAACGATGGCAGCGGCAAGGACGTCATCATGGGAATCAGACACAAGCAATACGCAGTGGAAGGTGTCCAGTTCCACCCGGAAAGTATTCTCACGGAGCATGGCCGCACCATGTTCAGAAACTTCTTGAAGCTTACAGCAGGGACCTGGGAGGCCAACGGCAAATCCACATCCGGCTCGGCCAAGGTGAGCGGCACCGCACCAAAGGTAGACAAGAAGACTTCCATCTTGAATAAGATCTATGATCACCGGAGAGCAGCCGTTGCTGTTCAGAAATTGATTCCATCGCAACGCCCCGAAGATCTTCAGGCTGCCTACGACCTCAGCCTTTCGCCACCTCAGATTTCATTTTCTGCTCGCCTCAGACAATCCCCCTATCCACTATCGTTGATGGCAGAGATTAAGCGGGCTTCTCCATCCAAGGGCATGATTGCGGAGACGGCATGTGCTCCGGCTCAGGCCCGACAATATGCTAAGGCTGGAGCTAGTGTCATCTCAGTTCTCACTGAGCCAGAATGGTTCAAAGGCAGCATCGACGATCTGCGAGCCGTCCGTCAGAGCCTGGAGGGCTTGCCCAACAGGCCCGCTGTCCTTCGGAAAGAATTCATTTTTGACGAATATCAAATTTTGGAGGCACGCCTAGCTGGTGCCGATACCGTCCTGCTCATCGTGAAGATGCTGAGTGTTGAGCTTCTTACGAGGCTTTACAATTACTCTCGCAGTCTTGGAATTGAGCCTCTCGTCGAAGTCAACACCCCAGAAGAGATGAAAATTGCTGTTGAACTGGGCGCCGAGGTGGTGGGCGTCAACAACCGGGATCTGACAAGCTTTGAGGTTGATCTTGGCACAACGAGTCGGTTGATGGACCTGGTACCTGAAAGCACCATCGTTTGTGCTCTCAGTGGTATCTCTGGACCAAAGGATGTGGAGGCTTACAAAAAGGATGGTGTCAAGGCTATCCTTGTCGGCGAGGCGCTGATGCGGGCCCAAAACACATCTGCCTTTGTTGTAGAACTTTTAGGGGGAAATGCCGAAAATAACTCCAAGTCGGCGCCGAGCTCACGGTTGGTGAAGATCTGTGGAACTCGGTCGGAAGAGGGTGCACGTGCCGCTGTCGAGGCTGGTGCAGATCTGGTTGGCATTATCCTTGTGGAAGGACGTAAACGATGTGTACCCGACGATGTCGCTCTGCGCATTGCTCAGGTAGTGAAGTCAACCCAGCGCCCTACTGTCCGGGCTGACTCCACATCACCCGCCAATACTTCTTCCTCCGACTTCTTTGATCATTCTACCCGCGTCCTGCGTCATCCAACGCGTGCTCTGCTTGTAGGAGTGTTCCAAAATCAACCATTGGCTTACATCCTGAACAAGCAGCAAAAACTAGGTTTGGACGTCGTGCAGCTGCATGGGTCAGAACCCCTCGAATGGGCCAACCTAATCCCCGTGCCTGTCATTCGTAAATTTGCCTTGGATGAGTCTGGTATCGCACGCAGAGCTTATCACAGCTTGCCTTTGCTCGATTCCGGTGCAGGTGGCTCTGGCGAGATTCTCGATCGGGCGCGTGTTCAGAAAGTCCTTGCTGGCGATGATGGGCTACGAGTTATCCTGGCAGGTGGCTTGGACCCTTGCAACGTTGTTGATACCATCAAGCAGCTGGGAGACTCTGGACACAAAGTGGTTGGGGTTGATGTGAGTTCTGGTGTGGAATCTGATGGTTCACAAGATCCTGCCAAAATTCGTGCTTTTGTGCAAGCCGTGAAAACCTTTGAAGCTTAATGCAGAAAGCTCTTTACCTTGCTCTGTGGCATGTCTTCTATGATGAGTTGATGACTCTTTTATGACTAGAAGGCTTACATTCTCCAAGATCATGTCTCACTCATATCTTATCTTGGGATCACTTTCGGGTTACATATATCTCATTATTTCCGGGATTCAGAAACATTCCATGTCTTTTCTGAGTTTCCTCTAGATACTCCTAGCCGTTTCACTGAAATGAATACTTTTGGGTTACCTCATTGCCGATTCATGTCTTCCTGAGGGTTAGTAACACATAACATGCAATTCAGTATCAGCCCTGATAGCGTTACAAAACTACAATGGTTCATGCTTCCTCCCTTCCTCATCACTAACAAATCTGCTAAACATCTCAAGTGCCCTCTGCTTCTTTGACATTGACCTCTGATTTTATTGTCAGTGTCATCAAACTCACGCTGTCACCTCGCCTCAGAAACCATGGGAAAGACATTTAAAAATATCCACGCTTGTGCCATTGGCAGGTTCCCTGTCAACGGGGATAAGATCCCACAGTGGATACGAGCCCATGGAGGGACCTTCTCGAAGGACGTCACCGAGGATGTTACGCACTTGATTACCACGAAAGACACCTTCGAAAAGAATGTCGAAGCAGGTATGGCACCCATAATTCCCTTTTGCAGCAGAGACTACGCATTTTACTAAGGTTGCCGATGGAACAGTTCAAAAAGCCAAGCTTCTGGAAACAGTCAAGATTGTGACCTACGACTGGCTCGAGGACTCTTTACAGTCCAAAACCCGTAAGCCGCAGCCCGAGGGAGCCTATCTTTTGGCGAATGTCTCGAACAAAGAGAAAAAGAAACAGAGACGAGCCGCAAAGGTCCAGACGAGGCAGTTGAAGGCCAAGGACAAGTCATCGGGTACGTGTGGTCATAATATTGCTGATGCTTCAAGATATTGACTGTAGTCAAGCACCTGGAAACGATTCGTCCAAGTCAAAGTCTCGAACCAGCAAGGGGAAAGCCTTAACTGCAGGTATGTTTCCCTAACAACGGTGTGGCTATGCGGTCTGACAGACTCCAAATGTCAAGCGAACTATCACATCTATGTTGACATGAGCACCGGGGAAACGTACAGTGCTACTATTTACCGCCATCTATCTCGGAACAATACACGCGAGAAATTCCAGATCAAGGTAGGCCCCTGCCTCTGAAGGGCCAAGCAACCTCTTCGTGCTCGCAGCATAAGCTGATACATCTGTAGGTCCACGAGTCAAACGACGTTCCTCACACGTACGCGACGCAAGCCAAGTACAGCTGCACCGGAAAGTCCACTGACGAGATTCTCGCGCCTCCCGGCAGTGACCAGAACACTGCGATAGCAGCATTCAGAGACTTTTTCGCGGCCAAGACGGGGAAGGACTGGGAGCTTCGACTGGATGGGATCCTATTGCCTCCAAAGCAGGACGCTGATGGAAAGGAACTTCCACCCCACGAGGGCTGGTTCTACTATGAAACTGGCAGATCTCTTCTTTCGGACTTTCTTCGCCAGGTTGAGACTCGAAGTTCTGCAGCGGGCCGGGGTGCTGAGCAAATCGCTATCGGCTCGAACAACAATGACCGTGGTCCTTTGACGCCGCCGGATAAAGACGAATCTGTCAAAGATCAAACCTAAGCATGCGCACAGGGTGTTTCTGAAAGACAGCGGTCAGTGCTTTCGAGGCCAAACGTTGATTCCGCAAAAGTCCGATAATATTGATCATGTGAGCTAGCCATACAATTGCCGTATTCATTAGGGCGAATGGTCTTCATCTAGCTGGAAATATCCGGTTACAGAAGCCTTGAGCATGGGTGTATCGTTGCCACTGTTGGCAACCTCGGCCATTTTAGGGTTGTGTTGCAGGTGATGGGTCTGTCTTGCTTGAGCGCTGCTTGAGCGCTGCCTTATCTAGTCGATGATATTCTCCTTCTCTTTTCATTGTTCTCTGGGCTGCCGAGGTATGGCGCACTCTTGTTCCTTATTTCAGAGCTACAGGTTGGCACAAGTCGCTAGCCTTGCTATATCCTAACGAACAGCTTCACAGTCGAAGATCGTCATTTCTTACGGTTTTTGCAGAAGACTTTGAAGCGAATTTGACTTTCCTCTCAATGTGGGTATAACCAATCTAGTGAATAATGATGCAGTGCTACCAAACATCAAGCACTTGATCCCTCCCAAACACCTTGTGCGCCAAGTAAACTTTTTTGCATCCGTAGGAATATACATAGAACCACTACCTCCGGTCGATGTCCCATATGCTCACAGATAGTCCTTCTTCTTGCTGGTTCTTGTGTACTGCGTGAGAGCCCATTCAACATCACCACTTGAGCCCTTCTCCAGCGAGCCGCCACGGATTTCGAAAAGTCTCATTGTCATCCGCGGGCCAACCTCAGCCAACTCGACATCCCGGTACCCAGTCTTAACGAAGACATGGTGCCGAACCTCTATATTATCCTCTTTATTCACGAAGGTCACAACACGGTTGCCGACCTTACCAGCCTCACGAGGTGGGAACAGATGCTTCAGAATCTGAACCACACGGAGACCGAGCTTCGTCTTAAAACCCTCAAAGATCAGGTGAGGGTAGCTCTCCGAAACAGTCCCACGGGCCGCATTGGGGATATCTGCACGGAGAACGACGTTGTGCAACGAGAAACTGGCTGTCGGGCCATGAGGAAGATGAGAGATGGTCATCGCGGTGGGCGTTCCACGGTGTTCGTGTAAGAGAACCATGTCTGTCAGCGCGGCGGCATTCGCGCTCGCCACGAGATCGGGAAGGACAAGGTTACCACGATTCAGGCGGATTGAGGTGGGTAGAAGCAATCGAATTTCCTTCGCAAATGTTCCTAGACGGACGGAGGGTGACCGGGAGGTGGTGACAATCGGACGAGGGTCAATAATACCAGAGGTGAGAGCGTATTCATCATCGAGGTCAGCATAGTCGGTATCTTTGTTCTGCTTGTCGGCCGTCGGTAATGATTCATCGTATTTGAAGTCTTCACGGAGCGTTTTGTCATTCGCTATTGAGGGGTCAAGAGTCTTTCCGGTGGCCAAAGAAGCCTTGAGTTGAGCTCTTTTTTCGGCGATGGAGGCATCGCGGAGAAGCAGAGCTCTCCGATAGAGATAGTCTCGACGCTCACGGGCTTGACGGCGCTAGGTGTCGGTCAGAAATCTTCTGTGAATTTATGAAAAGTAGAAAAATCCCGACAAGGTGTATGCGAGCGACATATTACTTACCAGCATCTTTTTTAGCGAATTTTGGAGTGGTCTGTATGATTGATTGTCGAATCTGGTCCGCCGAACAACTTTTTTTTCTCCAAAAAAGCTGCGCCACTGGCCTGAACCGGCTACCGGACTGTGGGTTTCTGGCGGCAAAAGGTCCGATAACTTAAAACATCCAAAGCCGATCGCAGTCCACTGACTCGCTCTCACAAAGTCCTGCCAACTAGAGAGGTACACCGTCCTGATTTTCAGGATTAGCGACTTTCGTTCGCCGGGTTCATAGTGACGTAAGGCTAAGTCAAGTGGGCTAGGGTATTGGAGATCAGCCGGTATGTTCTGTCTATTTGGTATGCTGATATAGGTTGACTTACTAAGACCGAACTTAGTTTCTCTCATTCCTGTGCCCCTCTACTGTGGTACACTGGATCTTTTCAACACAAGGACTGAGGATTGTCCCTTTGCTCATTCATTTAGGACGACTGGCTTGTCCTGACGCTCATTTGGTTCCCGTATTTCCGGCATCTTCGATTTCCGTCGCGGTTGCCACGCTACCGTCTCTCTCGAAACGTTCCGCTCAGAGTGGTCCTGTACTGCTCTCCTTGCCTAGTGTCAGCAACACGAGCTAGACCTTTCTGCTACTTGATAACCCATTAAGTTCCGACTTCAGGCCGACTATGGCTGCTATTGGCGATGGTAGGGCTCCAGCGGATCTCGATGAGACTACTTTGAACATGACCAGTGGTCCGCGCCCAAGGAGACACGATGACGAAGATGATGGATCGGATAATTTTGGTGACGACGATGTCGATAGTGTTACCAGCGCCGCTGTGACTGGCCGCAGGCAAAATGAGGGCAACTTTGAAGAGGAGAAGGAGCTACCTCCGCATGCATGCGCGTGAGTGACGCCATGTTTCTCTCTGGTCCGAACCTTTCTAACGTTTATCTCCCTTGCTATAGATATTGCGGTATCCATAATCCGAGCAGTGTGGTAAAATGTCTGGCTTGCAGCAAGTGGTTTTGCAGTGCTCGTGGGAACACATCCTCTTCACATATCGTCAACCATCTTGTCCGAGCTCGCCACAAGGAGGTTCAGCTTCACCCTGCCTCGTCCCTGGGCGACACTATCCTGGAGTGCTACAACTGCGGAACTAAGAACGTTTTTCTACTGGGTTTTATTCCAGCCAAATCCGACACTGTCGTGGTTTTGCTTTGTCGTCAGCCCTGTGCTGCCATGCCGTCTTCAAAGGATATGAACTGGGACACTTCGCGCTGGCAGCCACTGATTGAGGATCGCTCGTTCCTGCCATGGCTTGTTGCCGCTCCGTCAGATCAAGAGCAGCTCCGGGCCCGGCATCTTAGCCCGCAGTTGATCGCAAAACTGGAGGAAATGTGGAAGGACAATTCTCAGGCAACTCTCGCGGACTTGGAGAAAGCTACGGCGGTAGATGACGAGCCCGCGCCTGTTCTATTACGCTACGACGATGCTTTTCAGTACCAAAACATCTTCGGGCCCCTGGTCAAGATTGAAGCAGACTACGACCGTAAGCTGAAGGAGTCTCAGTCACAGGATGGTCTCATCGTTCGTTGGGACCTTGGCTTAAACAACAAACATCTTGCCAGCTTCATTCTGCCAAAGCTCGAACTTGGAGACGTGAAATTGGCCGTGGGAGATGAGATGCGCCTCAAGTACACGGGTGAGCTACGTCCCAAGTGGGAGGGCGTGGGATACGTCATAAAGATCCCCAACAATCAGTCTGATGAAGTGACGATCGAGTTGCGCGCTAAGGGCGATCACAAATCTGTACCCACCGAGTGCACCCACAACTTCACTGCGGACTATGTCTGGAAATCAACCTCATTCGATCGTATGCAGCTTGCCATGAAGACTTTCGCTGTTGACGAGATGAGCGTGTCCGGCTATATTTTCCATCGTCTCCTTGGACATGAAGTTGCCGCTGCACCTATGAAGACTCAGCTACCGAAGAAATTCAGTGTTCCTGGCCTACCGGAGCTCAACGGAAGCCAGATCAATGCAGTTAAGAGTGTGCTACAGCGGCCCATGAGCTTGATTCAGGGTCCCCCAGGAACCGGAAAGACTGTCACGTCTGCCACGATTATTTACCATCTCGCCAAGATTAACGGAGGTCAAGTCTTGGTCTGCGCGCCATCCAACGTTGCGGTCGATCAGCTGTGCGAGCGTATTCACAGGACCGGTCTCAAGACAGTACGTGTGACTGCCAAGTCGCGTGAGGACGTTGAGTCACCCGTGGGCTTCCTTTCCCTGCACGAGCAAGTTCGCCTGAATGACAGCAACATTGAACTCATTAAGCTTAACCAGCTCAAGGCCGAGCTGGGCGAATTGTCAAGTCAAGACGAGAAGCGCTTGAAGCAACTCACTCGTTCGGCAGAGCGTGAGATTCTGAACAATGCCGACGTCATTTGCTGTACTTGTGTCGGCGCTGGCGACCCACGACTTGCCAAGCTTAAATTCCGCACCGTCTTGATCGATGAATCGACGCAGTCGGCTGAGCCTGAGTGTATGATTCCACTGGTCCTTGGTTGCAAGCAGGTCGTTCTCGTCGGTGATCACCAGCAGCTTGGACCTGTTATTATGAACAAGAAAGCGGCCAAAGCGGGTCTGAACCAATCCCTCTTCGAGCGGCTTGTTATCCTCGGCTGCTCCCCTATTCGACTGAATGTGCAGTACCGTATGCACCCGTGTTTGTCAGAGTTTCCATCGAATATGTTTTATGAAGGTTCTTTGCAAAATGGTGTCTCTGCTTTTGACCGACTTCGCCGTGACGTGGATTTCCCTTGGCCTGTCGTTGACAGTCCCATGATGTTCTGGTCGAACCTTGGCAACGAAGAGATTTCGGCGTCAGGAACTTCGTATCTCAACCGAACCGAAGCTACAAATGTGGAGAAAATCGTGACCCGCTTTTTCAAGGCCGGTGTGCAACCAGCCGACATTGGTATCATCACACCTTACGAGGGTCAACGTAGCTACATCGTCAGCTCTATGCAGGCTAATGGCACGTTCAAGAAGGAGCACTACAAAGAAATCGAAGTCGCTTCGGTTGATGCTTTCCAAGGTCGAGAGAAAGACTTCATTATCCTTTCCTGTGTGCGTTCCAACGACCACCAAGGCATCGGTTTCTTGAGTGATCCGCGTCGTCTGAACGTTGCGCTTACCCGAGCGAAGTATGGTCTGGTCATTCTTGGAAATCCCAAGGTTCTGTCCAAGCATCCACTGTGGAACTGTCTACTGCAACATTTCAAGGAAAGACACTGTCTTGTGGAAGGGCCCTTGTCCAACCTCCAGGAATCTCTTATTCAATTCAGTCGTCCAAAGCAGTCATATAGAGGTCCACAACGGTTTCAGATGGCTTACAACCATGCATCCAACATCACCA